AGAAGTAAATTAATATCAAATGTATTTACCAGATAGCCATTTGATAGTACCTGCAGGTTACTATAGAAAGCGATCATACGTTTAATTAGAGATTCGGCCTCCTCCTTTGATATATTCTTGACCTTATCCAAGCGCGTTATAGTTATTATGCGATTGTTAATGCATATTATCTGATGTACAACTTCGTGGGTGGTGTGTGCCAAATGTCTAGAATCACAATTATTTATTAGATCCGTCTTAAAAAACACTATTTAGTAGAAGTCTACTCACTTGGGTAAATTGTTGGCAACATTCGCGGTATAATTGACAAAGTGCACAACGCGCCTGGCTGACTCCCGAGTCAACAACACGATCAACTGCTCCAATGTGACAGGCCTAGCTTGATTCTCCGGCTCGTCAGCACTTAGATATCCCCATAGTTCCTTTGCCTTTTGCATAGCCAGCTTCGGATCGGTGGCAATCTATGAATAATTTAAATATGCATATGTATACACATGTATGTATTAATATATACATAAATATATATCTGTACTAAGATTCCTTTATCAGTTAAGTAGCTTAAAATTTCTTCTTGTTTTTTGTTGTTTTTTATCCATATTATTCAGTACAAACAAAGTTTATAATAATTGTCTGTTTCATTTGTGCAATATTGCTGTATAGATACGTTTTTCACACACTGTATTAACGATGCACTCGTTCACGCGTATTGCACGTGCTATGCGATAGTAATCACGATAATTGAGTAACTGTAAACTCAAAACGATTTTTCCACTTACCAATTCGGCCGCGTAGATAAGCACATGGATCGCTTCTTTGCTTTGTTTTTTAAGGGCTCGTGCCTCGGCAAAAGTTCTTTGGGTAAGTCTGCGTGTGAGTTTACGTGAGAAGCGTTGACCGTGATGAATTGCCTTAATCGCGCCTCTTTCGTTCGACACTGCGCCCGTTGGTTCGTTATCATCGTCTTGAGGCGCTGCAGTGCGTTAAAGTTTTTAAATATATTTCTATATATGGATGTATTTTTTTTTTCTTTGGTAATGTTGAACCGTAGCAAAGCCGCGTGTTATTGTTCGACTTATATACATGTATGTACATAATATGTTTTTGTGGTCGTCACTTAGGCAATCGCCAAAATGAGATTCAAAATTCATATGGAGCATCGACTGATAACCTCGGTGACCCACGTATTTTTTTTTTTTTTTTTTTTTTTTTTTTTTTTAATGAGACAACACATTTAAAAAAAAGACAGACAAACGGCATGGCATCATCATTAAGATCTCACTCACCATCTGTCTGATCCTGGTCGGTGGAGATGGGAACTAGGTATTTGTCGACGAATTTGTCGCCTGCTGTAAAGGCTCCATCGATGCGATCTGCTGCATAGGTTGTTAGAGGACTTTCGAGCACCGCATTGCCGATTTGTTTAACGGAATCCGCACGTTTAAGCACAGGTCGCACCAGATGATCCGACATGTACTCTTTGGTATTCCAATACATCTTTAAGCACAAAATAATTGCCTATGTGAGCGAATCTCAAGTCACATTGACATATATGCTGTCCCAGCTGGACTTACCATTTCGGGTGGCAGATAGACAAGCGGTATACGCTGCTCCAATATGTCTAGGCTTTTGCACATCACATTGTCCAGTCGTTTGATGGGCATCTCGAATAACTTAACAGCCGGCTGGACCGTCTCGTAGGCTGCACTAATTGTGGCCTCAGCCGTCTCAAAGTACCAGCTGAAGAGGCGGTTGTTGTTCTTGACTTTGTCATAGATGTGCTCAACGCGTTTAACGCTTGTCTCCACCAACGGAATTGATGTAATGCGATCGATGGCCTCCATATGTAATCCAGTGACCATGGCTGTAGTTTCATGATATTTAACACT